GTTTGTCAAAACCACAAAGGTGCACTTGCTCCCACCAGACAATAATAAACTACAGTATAAAGAAATAACTCCAACTATTCTATTCACTCCTTTTTGAAACTGAAAGATTATACAACTATTCTATTCACTCTTAATCTCTTACCATGTTTATCCATTTTGTAAGGTGATATCCGATAGAGGTCAAAGCTTTATCTCTATGTCGCAGGCCAGCATCCAGAGTGGTTTCTAATTCAGACAGCCGAGACAACACCTATAATCAAGAAGTTTATCTCATTCAGATATCTTACTTTAGAGCATTCAAGAATGAACAATCACAAATTATATATGCTATGTACATCACAGTATGTCTAAACAGATTTGGGGTTGGGACTCATTGAAGTGCAAATGCGGCAAATCATGCTGAGGTGATTGTGGAATAAATGTGAAGGCAATCAGACATAGCACGAGTGCTAGTAGGGAGATAACAGAACATTGGCCCATTCTTGATGTATATTATGACGTTGAATGTCAATCTACACATAAATTGAGGGAAACTAAAACTTAGCTTGCTTACATTAGGCAGAAATACCATAAAATTATCCATTTCCTACTTACAATTTTTCAACAAATTATGCAAAGATAATTAACACGCAAAAAGGTTCAATTATAATGCCGATGAAACTCCTTTCCATTAGAAACATACTTCTTGAGTTATCTGCCTCCTCTTTGTCGTGTCTTCAGGAACAGGATAGCAATTTGCACTGAATGCCTCACAAATTTTCAGTATTTTTGTTCTCGCCTGCTCACCTGAAAAGAATACTACAAAGACTATTTTCTCAACCTGCAGAAGCAAATCTATGTTAACCATAAGATAACCTTTATAATCAGGCTATTTCCTTGCAGCAAGGATCCAACAAAGAAATAATAATAACAACAACAGTAATAATACTCCCTCCATTTCAATTTGTTTGTCCTATTTTCCTTTTCAGTCCATTTCAAAAAGAATGCCTCTTTTTTTTTTTTTAGCAACTCTTTAATTCCAGCTTTCCACATGACATGTTTAAGACCATAAGATTAGAGGGCATTTGACATGTCTTTCATTTAAGAACACAAGATTTAGCAGTCTTCTCTACTTTCTTAAACTACGTGTCAAGTCAAAGTCAAAACAGGACAAAAAAAAATTGAAAAGGAGGGAATAATAATAATAATAGATAAAAACATATAGATAATTAAAGAAACCACATTGCATAGACAGAGAGAGTTAGAGTTTGGCCATTTCAAATGGAGAGAAATGCTTCTACTCTTTCCTTATTTATTCATGACTCATGAGTCATGAGTAAATCTTACGCATTTTAGAATTTTCCTTTATTTGGAACTTTTCTTAGTGAACAAATTCATTTTGTGCTGACCCACGTTTAGAAAGATGGCAGTGCAAATGTCCAATTAGAAGGGTTCAATTATATTAGAAGTTCAAAAGAAAGAGGATGACCATTTCGTTTGACGAAGGATCCAGTATTTCATCATCAGCAACTGCCTGATTGAAAAGCATATTACCCCTTGTTGCACGAAATAACATTCTTTCAAATTGAAGAACCTTGGACTTGCAGATAATGCCACTAATAAATCTCACTCCGGATTGATTTGACAGTTCTGAATGCATCTCCTGAAGATTGAAAATAACTTTGCTGAAAAAGTTTTAAGGAACTTAATCATCAATGAATTAATGATATAAGCTACTCAAAAGAAAAAACTGTTTTTTGTGCAGTTACCTGCTCAAGTAATGATGCTGTATCTCCATGGTTATCATTGGAGTATACATTTTCATCCAATTCTATTTCCCGGTCAGTTGTATGACTACTACTTGAAACAAGGAAGCCACTAGCCTGGAGTGATGGTGACCAAAAAAATAAGTATCTCTGAAAGGAATGATTACATTTTAAACCCAAAAAAACATAAGTTTGGTCCTTCAGGTAATTCTGATAAAGAGGTGATCTGAGAAGCTTTGAATGTCAGCTCACAAGTTCAAACTTAGAAGAGAAAATGATAGGTAAGCATAAACAACTACAACATAGACAGTGTAGTCCCACAGAGTGAGGTCTGGGGAGGGTAGAGTGCACGCAGACCTTACCCTACCTCAGAGGTCAAGAGATTGTTTCCAATAAACCCTAGTGTATGCAACCACCTTATTGATTACAAAAAAAAAATCAATATCTTTGCTCTCTTTAAAGCAGCTATTTAAGAATTCCAAGTTTCTGGCAAAAATTAAATGCCTCAAACAACTCAGAATCCACATCATTAATGCAAAATTCATTTCTTACTTCGAATGCTTGCACATTAACAGAATGACTAGATGTCAAGGTAGAAATGTACCTTCTGCAGTACCATCTTAAATTCTAGCAGCTCATTATATGATTGCCGCAATTTCTCACTATTAGCATTCATTTCAATCAATTCATGTTCATGCTCTGCAAGTTGTATCTGAAATTTTGAAGAACCAAATTGTCCATATGAGCTTTTGTTTAATTGGAAAAGCTACTGAATAAATCCATAATTGAAAAAGAAAACAGAGGAAAACTCATTTATCAGCAAGTAACAACCAGAAAGAGACCTCTATTTCTTCTAATTCAGTATCAGGTTGGGAAGCAGGAAGAGGAGGCAGCAATAAACCGGCTTTGTGTATCTGATCTTTGAAATATCGTAGTTTTCTTGCCATCTCCACGCATCTTTTTACCTACAAACGTCACCCAAGATTGTAATTAATAAAAGAAATAACAGATCAATATGTATTCATTTCTAGGTTCAATAAAGGCGAGAAAGAGCAATTCTAAGCAGCTCGACTTAATTTCACAAAATTATGGACTAAAATTTGAGTAAAAGGAAGTGATCTTCTCTTTAGCAAAGTTCCAGCAAAAGTTAGCAGAGATAGCAGTTTGTCAACAGTACAAGCACATTGAAACTTGTCAACAGTTTAAGCTGATTATAGTCACAATTCCACTTTAGTAACAAGCATGTAGAATTTTGAAGATGAATTTACTGTATTCACAGAAATTCGTAGATACCTGGTTTACAAATGTTCTCTGGAAAGGACTCTTTTCGGCATTTAGCTGCACAAAAGAAGTTAGGTAATCAGTTTATTTGCTGGATAATGAAAATAAAGCAGCTTAACTGGAGATAAAAGTCAGGATAGCTAGATCATAAAAATATAATAATATTTAAAAGTTTGCCACATCCCCTTGAAGATGACAAACTAGTTACAAATATCATACAAAATATTGAAAGGGACAACAACATTATAATAATGAAAAAAATTGACTGCATCTCATCTTCAAGAGTGTGGATAGTTCTCTCTGGCCTTACTCCAACCCAAAAGAAAGAACCAGCACGGTAATTTGATGCCTTTGAAACCTCACCTCAATTTACACAAATAACACATTGGATTGTTAGAACAACTATATTAGAAGAATGAAATTAAGCTTCCCTTCAATTTTGATACTCTTTGGCACTTAAAAAGTGATTAAGTAAACGAGTCTTATTCGAATTCATTAATTAACTTCCAAATCCTTCACAACACAGACTACTAAAACTACAGAATCGTTACTTAGTCAAAAGCAACACTTTCCTGTTACATTGCATTCCACATAACCAAAATCACTCTCGAAGACTAACTATTCGAGTAAAAATCAGGCCAATTAATCAGGCACATATAGTGAGTGACACCTCAAAATCATAAAACCACAGTATCAATCCTGAATCAACAAACAAACTTCAAAATCCTTCAAAAACAAAAATCCACAGGTAAAGAGATGAGTACATCACGGAATTGGAGAAGTCCGAGTTGGCCAAGGTAAGTGATGGCACGATGAGCGGATTCAGCAGGAATGATAAGCTGAACGAAAGTCATCTTCTCCGAGCGCATCAGATCCATTAGCGGCATGTTGTCTATGTACTCCATTTTTTTCCGAAAGGTAACAATTCACCTAGTAGACAGAGAGAGATCTATATTCAGATCTACTCTCTGAGAAAGGGACACCACGCTCGTCTCTAACACTCCTCGCAGCTCGCACTGCAAATTTAGTTAAACTGCGGTTTCGTTAACACTGGGCAAAGGTAACTGCCATGGAAATTAATTCGGTCGGCATCTCGCATATTTCGCAGTTTTTCCTACTTTACTTTTCATTCATTTGGGATAAAGATAAAAAGGTATACGCATAAAATTCTAGTGCGCGCTGACTTTAAAGTAATTAAAATACACGCTGACTTTTATTGTTCATTGTGAATGTATCGATCTAAAATAATTTGAAAAGGAATTATCAAATTGCCAAATCGAGTTTATGTTATTTTTATAGGAACACCATTATAAAAAGAAAATTAGATTAAAAGTTTATCTTATTAGGAAAATAATTTTATTTATTAATACTATATGTATTTTCATAAAGGGGTTGGAAATAGTAGAATTTACATAAATCTGCTTCTATCTTATGGAGATAGATAAATTATTTTTTGTAAGACTCTCGGATCAAGTAACACTTTTGAAAAAAACATACCAAAATAATATAAGATATAGCAAATAACACATAACAAATAATAGAGTAAACGTAATGAATCATAGAGTATAACAATATGACAAATGAAGCACAACAAACATCATATAGTAGTAGTAATTGAAGAATAAGAAATTATAGGATTAATATTAATATCAACTACCCACCAAACTTACTAAGCAGAAAAACAAGTCAGTTTATACCCATTTTTTTATTTTAATTTGCGATTTTTGTATCTTCTTATATCGTTACATTTGAAAATTTTGATGTGATGAACCTTTCAATCTCCAAAAACAAAAAAAGTTTAGTGGTGCACCAAAACTACACTAACATCGTAAATATAATGGACTATTAATGCTTTGTGTATCATAAATATATATATAAAGGACTATTAATGCTTTTTGTGGAGAATAATGATGACTTTAAAGTCTAAATGCAAAGATTAGGGACTATTTTAAGCTTTTTCTCATGATATGTCCCCAAGTCACACTCCTTATTCTTCTTTTCCGATTCGAGTAAAACCCTCCCTCGCTTCACTCCGCCAGCAACTCTTGCCGTGTCTTCAGCCGCAAATTTCTGTAAGTTTCTCGGGTTCCACCAAGAGTTAGTTTTTACATTTTCTTTAATTTTCTGGAAGAAGTAAAACTACTGATGGAAAATACTTTCTTCCTTGCAAATATCTAACTTTGTCCCAAAACTTACTGTCTGTGGCCATTTGTATAGTGAAGATTTTGTAAAAACCTCTGCATCTGTTAGCAGAGCTAGTGAAATTGACATATAAAATAAAATAATGTATGGAGTAATTCACTTTTGGCTGTAAAATTTCAGTAATTCACTAACTTCAATACATAATTTGTATTTATTTTTTTTAGTGTATTTTCATGAAATGTGGTGCTAAAAGGTGCTCTCCATGTCATCTAGTTATTATCTGAGCTTCCATTCATGGCTTGATTGTTGTCCAACAGTTTTGTTATGCTGAAATTATGCTTGTGTATTTGCTGAAATTTTCAAACTTTATTTTGAAAAAGATTTGCTTTTACCTTGTGCCTATGAAACTACCTTTCAGAGAACTAATTGGAAACACTTATTTCTTATATCAAGCTCTGTTAATTAGTTAGTTAACTATGCATCAATTCCAAACTAGTTGAGTTTGGACATATCAATCTTTATGTAGTTATACTATTTAATGGAAAGATTCCTCTTTTATCCGGATGTTGATTGGCTAAACATTATAGGCCCCTATTAGACTGCCAAATTGTTACTGGGTGATGTGAGAATGTCCTTACAACTCTGTCTGACGTCTGAACTGATATGTGTGTGCGATCACAGCAGTTGGAAAAAATATAGTTTATGCTACGTATGTAGTTGTCTAGATTCATCTGCACATAAGCATGTACTATAAACTGCATGTATCTTAGCCGAGCAACTCAGGGATGAATCTAGACATGTATCTAAGGTTGGGAACTTGAAAGATTAAGATTCTGAATTAAGAAGACCCAAAGGAATTACTGTGATTGCAATCTGAACATAGAATTAGAAAATATTCCATGTTGCTGATGTTTAAGGATAAGTTGATTATATGAATCTCTATCAGGTCAATTATACTGCTTCCGTTACTAAAGTTAGATTATCAATTGTTTTCTGTTATGGCAGGATAATAATCTAATGATTCTTGTCACTGGCCTGAAAAATCTCCTTTATTATTTTGCCATTAATAGTCTGTTAATATCTTCTTATAAGTCCATAAATTTCAGACTTCAAATTTGTCAAGTAGATAAACATTATTATTGTGTTACAAAACGGGTGATGACAGTGCGACGTGTCCTGTTTAAGTTTTTGAAGGTTAAGTTATGAATCTGATAACTGAAAACAGATAGACCAACAACAACAACAAACCCAATGTAGTACCACAAAGTGGAAAAGCAAGTAGCCCAAAACAAATAATTTTCAACCGTGTTACAGAAGGTACTTTTATATTCTGTAACTTTTTTTCCTTTTGATTTCTCCATGGGAAAGAAGAAAAAATCAGCTATAAGCAAAATAAGAATTAAGATAATTTCACAAGGTTGGGTTGAGGTTTTGACAGTACTTCCTCTTTCCCATTTTCTTTATATATTGACCAACCATTTCTGCATGTCTTTCTTGTTTTATTATAATTTCGAAGTTCAAAACCTTCATTCTCACTGAACAGCAGGATACTAGGGTCATGCATTTTATTTGAATATGAGATCTTCTTGCATTCCTATGATTGGATAATCCCTGGTTGATAAGGCTATTGCTAAGACATCTGATTTCTATAGAATGGCTGCTGCCAATGGCTCAAGTGACTTGTATTCAGAGATGGAGGTGGACGCATTTAGACGTCTTTTCCCTTTGCGCTATCATGAGCAGCATCTTCTTAAATCAGTCCGACCTGATGCTCGAAAGCTCGGAAGCGCTAGAGATACAACACTTGCACTTGGTTTGTCTAATCATCATTTCAACTTATTAGTTGTTATTATATTATCTTTTCTCAGGATTTGTCCAAATATACATTTCTATTATCACTGCAGGTGCCGTGGCCTCTGCTGAGGGATCAGCACTGGCAAAGATTGGCTCCACTGTAAGTGTATCCTATATCAATTGCTTCTTTAATGTACAGGAGCTTCCATTTTTCACTTGAATTTCTTCTGAATTGATTGATCATCTTGAATCAATCGCAGACGATGCTGGCCGCCATCAAAATGGAAATCATGACACCAACTGTTGAATGTCCAGATGAGGGATCCATAGGTAAAAGGTCTCTCATCTCTCAGCTCTTATTACCTTATTACCCATATAGTTTCTGCTTATGTATATGATTATATTGTGATTGCAGCTATCGAATTTCACATGCCTCCCATTTGTTCTCCCCTGGTTCGGCCTGGTAGGCCTGCCGAGGCAGCATCAGTAATTTCAAAGCAGCTGTCAGACACTATCTTGAGGTACGTAGTAATAGCTTGCAGGTGCCCAAAACTCGGAGTCTAAATATCCTTTTTTTTAAATAATCTGAACTTGGAGTCTAAATATTTGTCGTCATCTATTTCATTATGTTAGGTATTTTAATATTGACCATGCCTTTTGGTAATTACTGATTTGTTTTTATTATTTTTTGAGCGTCTGGTAATCTAATACAACAAGTTTTATTTAAGGTTCAACTAGACCCACTTATGATCTGCAGCAAACATAATAATCTGATTGGGAAAATCCTCCTGCTTCAAGCATCTTGGCTGTGTTTCTAGTCTTCGAAGGGGTTATTACTTATTGTTAATAAATTGTAGTAGCTATTATTACCTGGAGAAGTTTTTGAACGAACTTTACATCACAAGAGTTTTATGCTTTTTAAATAAGATTTCCTCTCCTCGGTCTACAGAGACAAAATGTAGACTGGTGCCAATAGTTCATCACGGAAGAAAGGGCTCACTAAGTCGGGATCACACTCCTAAAGAAGCTAGAGCAAGACCTAATTGAAAATGAAACAAATTGTTGATTGTGTCATAAAGACCCTTATGTCCACACCCAATGTCCCCCCGGAGGAATATGTGCATCTAAAAGATCTTTCATACTGTGCCAAACAATATTACCAGACAACCAGAAGCAGCTGCTTCTGGACGAACTTTATGTTACAACTTACAAGGGAGAATATTCTTCTTCTGCTTTATCCCAAGAGAATAACCTTTGCATGTCCCTTTGGGGACATCCGATAAAATAACCTTTGCATGAATCCTTGTTCTTCCCAGAAATTCTTGGAACTTAATCATCATTCGATCAACCCTCCCTAGACCCCACTTGTGGGATTACACTGGGTATGTTGTTGTTAATCATCATTCGATTAACCATGCTTCAGTCCCACACTAGTTGGTGGCCTGCCATATGAATGATCTGACTCCATTTGATCTGTTTGGAACTTGATCATATCTGTTAATACTACTCCTACAAAAAGCTTTATACCAAGAAGTATCTCTGGTTGTGGAGCAAGTCTAACTTTTCTCTTGTTTTTTTTAAAAGTAGAAGTAAGAAAGAATTACTTCGATTGTTATCTTCGTGGCTTTGTTTACCCTTCCTATTTTAGGTCTTTCCTCTTGGTGCATCTTCATAATATTTTTTTTCTTCACTTTCTGATAAGTATGCCTGTACAATCTCCTTAATAAGCAATTGAAATGTTTGCAGTTCTGGCATGATTGACTTGAAAGAGTTGTGCTTGGTTGGAGGAAAAGCTGCATGGATGGCCTACCTGGTAAGTGCTAACGAATGTGAAGATCTTGTTTTCTTGCTTTTTCCCCTTGTCGGTAGAAGAAGGAAAAGTTTGTTCCTTAATTTTACGTTAATTGAAGAGTTGAGTCATCAGAATATGAAACAATGGAAATTTTTGGCGTATCTAGGTGTAACCATTTAAATATGTTACCCCGTAAGGCCGTCCCTCAACACGTAGATTTGGACTAGTTTTTCACTTATTCATAGTTGGTCTTTGAATCTTCCCCTCTATTTCTTCATTTTATTTTATTTTTTAACTCAAAGACATCGTCTCTACTGATCATTTATGTGCAAAAAGTTACATATTTGAGTTTGGTATACCAAACTTTGTACATGACCATCGAGATGAGACTAGTCTAGCCTACTCAATCCTTTTATACATAATTCAAGGAGGTTCATAAGCTATTTGGGCATATTCGGTATGTTTGACTCGAAAAGATGGTAAATTCCATCTATCAATGTTAATAAGCCCCCTAATGTGTTTTGAAAGCTCAGCAAAAGAGTTGAACACTTGGGTTCCCGGAATACTATGACCCAAGTTTGCCAATCTATCAGCAGGTTGATTAGTTTCTCTATAGCTATGATTGATCTCGAACCCATGTTCTTCAACTAAACTCTGAATTTCTTCTATGAAATTGAGAATTCTCCAAGGAATTTTCCATTCTCTGTTTATGCATTTAGCCAACAGTAAAGAGTCTGTTTCGCCCAAGGCAGTTCTAAAGCCATTATGTGCACACCATTTGAGTCCAAAAAGCATGGCTGATGCTTCTGCCATGTTGCTTGTACCAAATCCTAGGTGGATAGTATAGGCAAAAATAAATCTTCCATGTTCATCTCTGACTAGTCCTCCACCACCACACATACCCTGGTTGCAACTGCCATCACTGTTGATTTTCACTCTCTGCGTCATTGGCCTTAACCATCTAACCATTGTGGTGGTTTTTTGTTGTAATGTTGCTTCACATGTTTGGCAAATTGTCCTCCAATGCATTTTCAAATCTCCTATTAATGACCTGCAAAAGAAAGGATAGTATGTTAGTTTTTGTTCTGTAGAATGAGGGGTTCATATTATTGAATTTTTTGTTGCATCTGGCCCTCCATAATTCCCAACATACGATCAGTGGTAATATCCTTGTAATGAATTTAGCAATGATGTTAGGTGTCTTATAGTTCCACCAATTTAGGAGGAGCATCTTCAAACTCCTATTCATATGTTCAATCCCAAGAGGGTCCGCAAATTATTTCCAGAGTTTCCTAGCATGCTCTCATTTGCTGAATAGGTGGTCAGTGTCTTCCATCTCAGTAATAGTGTTGTTTGTATTACAACAGTGGCATGAAATGTCCACCTGAATTCCAAACCTGGCTACTCTCTCTTTGGTGGATAGTCTATCTTTTATCGCTCTCCAGATCAGGAAGGGCATCATTTTGAATGGAATGTCTTTGTGCCAAATATAGTTGACAAAATTATTCGTGGTCCTTTTTTGTCTCAGCATATTCCATGCAGAGCTGATTGAGAAAAGGCCTGCATTATCTAGGGACCAAATGGCTCTGTCATTCTTGTGTTCATCAATCCTGATATTGAGGTCAATGATCTTAGCCTTGGTCTCCTCATTTAACTGAGGTTGCAGAATGTTCCAGTTCCAAGTTCCATTACTGAGGACCTCCTTAATTGTAATCTGGCTATAGTGGTCGTTGTTAGGAGTTAATTGCCAAAGAGGTCCCAAATCTAGACCAATTGTCAAACCAAAAGGAAACGTCTCCCTTACCAACTTTCCAGATGATATTGCATTCGACATCTTCCTTGATTTCAGCAAGTATTTTCCAACTCTGAGCTTTCCCCTTTTTCCATTGAACTGTGCTGGGGTGGTCAAAGTTGAAGTACTTAGCTTTCATAAATTGCTTCCATAAGGAGTTAGTCGTCCTCAAGTTCCACCATTGTTTTGCTTGGAAAGCTTGACGTGTGTCTGAAAGACTTCTAAAATTAGTCCCGCCCTCACTGTATGGGCAACAAAGGTTTTTCCAGGAGACCCAATGGTACTTTCCTCTAGATTCTTGACCAGACCAAAAGAATCTAGTAATGTATTTTTCAATAAGTTCTATAGTACCCATTGGAGGATTAGTGGCTGACAGTAGATGGACCGGGAGAGCTGACAAAACATGTCTGATCAATATAGTTCTTCCTCCCATTGAAAGAAGTTTAGTATGCCATCCCCTAATTTTATTGATGATTTTATTAACCATGCCAGAATAGTGAGAAATCTTTTTCTTCCCTGTGATTAGAGGACATCCCAAATATTTGATAGGAAATTGTTGATGGTTCATACTAGTGATTCTCTTGATCCTGGTGATAGTAATAGTGTTGGTGTTGGCAGCTACCGTAAAACAAAAGTTGTCTTTGTTCATGAGCTGCCCGGAGACATCTTCATAAGTTTTCAGAACTCTCAAAATCATTTCCAGAGGTCGTTTACTACCATTGCAGAACAGGATGGTATCATCTGCAAAGGATAGATGGTTGATTTGAGGCCCATTAGAGTTCATGTGAAAACCTTTGTACCCAGTTCTATAATTTAGATCGTTTAGCATTTTCGATAGGAGTTCCACAGCTATGACAAAAAGAGAGGGGGATACATGATATCCTTGTCTCAGGCCTCTTTCAGACTTAAAGAAGCCATGCCTACCCCCATTCACTATGACTGAGTACCAATTGTTGGAATGTAGTTGTTGGTAATGTGAACCCACCAATCTGAGAAGCCAAACTTTTTCAAAATTAAGCACAAGTACTCCCACGATACTCTGTCGTAAGCTTTTGTCAACTTTATAACAATGTTCCCACCTCTAGTAGGCTTCTTGATATCGTTAATAATCTCCTGAGCTAGCATTATATTCTCTGAGATAGACCTTCCCTTGATGAATCCTGACTCGCTTTGAGAAATGATCATAGGCAAAATACCAGCTAGTCTAGAATTGATGATCTTGGAGATGATTTTGGTGGAGACATTACACAGACTGATTGGTCTAAGGTCCGAGAACTTATGAGGGTTCTCTATTTTAGGAATCATTACCAAACAAGTGTGAGTAAAAAACTTTGGAAGCTTAGCTCCATTGAAGAAAGCCTCAATAGCTCTAGAAAGATCATTGCTTATAATACTCCATGTAGCTTGGTAAAAGCAACCATTCAACCCATCCGGACCAGGTGCACTTTCATTGACAATTGAGAAGACACTGTCCCTAATTTCTTGCATAGTGGGGATGGCAGTAAGCCTTTTGTTATCTGCTTCAGTCACCATTCTTTCAATATGGTTTAAAGCATCCAGGTTTGAGATATGAGTTTCCTGTCTGAAAGCATTTTCAAAATGTCTCACTGCTGCCTCTGCAATCCCGTCATTTCCTTCAATCCATTCACCATCTTCATCCATGATCCTGCTAATAGTGAGTCTCCTCCTTTCCTTGATAATGTTATGAAAGTATGAAGTATTAGCATCACCTTCTTTGAACCATTTGGCCCTTGCTTTCTGTCTCAGAATTTTATCCTGAAGCTTGATGTATTTTGAAAACTCCGCTCGATTTTTGGAAAGCTTTCTCTATTCTCAGATGAATTATTGATTACACATTCATCTTCCAGTGATTTCATATCAGCTTCCAGTTTTTTAGGAACTTCAAAAATGTCTCCATAAGCCTGTCTCGACCATCAACTAAGAGTTTTGGTGGTTTTTTTAATCTTTGGATGAAGGATGTACCAAGGATTTCCATATATCTCCTCCTCCCAAGTCCCAACATTCCGCTTTTAGACCATAGGCCTACTTGTTGGTATTAATTCCTATGGCATATGATTAATACAGGACATATACTGTTTGGATGCTGACGGTTCTCTGTTTGACGCTGCATTACTATCTACAGTTGCTGCCTTTTCGCATTGTAAGTTTGCTATTGCTTGGATTTTCTTGAGTATTCCTGTAATCATTACTTGTCCCATGAGAGACAACAATATTGTACTTTATATCCTGTTTCTGATTTTGAGATTGGAAATGGACCACATGTTAAAACAAAATTTTGGAAAGGTTTTCGATATCAAAGTTGAAAAAGGGTAAGAAAGAAGATGTTTTAGTGATTACAGAAAATATTTATTATACCAAACAGGCGACCGTAAAAAGAGGACCAGCTGTCTGCACAAGTTCTTAGAGTAATTAGCAATATGTTCAAGGAGCAAGTATCTGCAAGAATCTGGCCTGCATATGTCATGTAATAAACCTTAGGGGAAGGCCAGTCTTGAAGAGAATAAAAAGAGAGGGGATGAACTGTTCTTAGTTTAAGCAATAGGTCAAAAGAGCAATCTTCTGCACTTAGTTTTGGTTTGTTAAAAGGAATATCATGCAATAAAATTATGAAGCCATTATTGAGAAAGAGATGAAGGAATGAAGAAGAGTGCACATATTAGGTGCAGTCATGTGATTTTATTTTAAATTTTCTTAAGGTTGCAACAATTCCTGTAGGTCAATAGCTCTTTTTTTGCTATGTGGGAAGAGTGTTTTCTTCTGAAGTGTTCAATATTATATGCACTGAGTTCTTTATAGCTGTACGTATCAGTCTGGGAAAGTTGATTATTATATGCATGGAATTTTACGTAGGAAATGATTTTTTCGCAGTGAACATTCCAGTAGTGTCTTTGAATGAAGATGGGCGAATAGTTCTTGTTTCTGAGGACAATATCCAATTGAAATTGGAGAAGCAACCTGTCAATACAGAGAAAAGAAAACTAAAATTGAACTCTCCACCATTCTCCTTAACGTGCTTACTTCACAAGAACTACATCCTAGCAGATCCTACAGCAGAGGAAGAATCTATAATGGAAACGGCTGTAACTGTGGTATTGGATTCGTCCTACCAGCTTGTTTCACTTTATAAACCAGGGGGACCAGTTCATGCCCATACATCAGTCATCCAGGTTAGTTTGCATCATAATCCTAATGCTTAACTAAACGGACAAGAAGGTTTATTTTTCTCTACTTTTCTTTATAAGGCACATTTGATATTTATCTTAGATCGTAGCTAAAGGAGGTCACAAGTTATCGGAAAACTTATCTAAGGGGACATTAAGATTTCCAATTATTTTTGGGCATGTTTTGTAACTGTCTTCCCTCCCCTCTCTATTGAGAAAAGAACAATATAGAAATCTTATCGGATAGGAGGACAGAAAGAGGTTATACCCAGGCAAGCTGTTTTTGGATGCCTAGTTTTGGTTCAGGTTTGCATTAGAAGTTATATGTTGTCCAAATTGACCCTTGAGAAACTTTGTCAAGATAATTTTTTTTCTGTTTAATATGTTTTATATTGCTATGATAATTATAAATAAGATTTTTTTAATCAGTTCTGTTTTGTAGTTCAACAAATCATAAGAAAACAAACAAGGAAATTAAAATTTCCCAAACCTGTTTTGAAAATCACTTTTCTTGAGCCGAGGATCTATCGAAAACAGCCTCTCTACCCCATCAAGGTAGAGGTAAGGTCTGCGGTACATCCACCCTTCCCAGATCCTACTTGTGTGATCTCACTGTGTATGTTGTTGTTTGTATTAAAATAATGCTATTTTCTTATGTCATACTCACTTTTCTGGAGACGTTTGTTAACTTACATTCCATTCCCTATTGATCTGTAATGGTTCCTAAAACAATCCTGTTAACAGTTCATTAATTTCTTCTTCAGGATTGCGTCGCACTGGCAAAACGCAGAGTGAAAGAGCTTCAGAGTGTCTTAAATGAAGCTATTTCTGATATGGAGGTAGAGTGAAGTAGATTTTCCTTGCACCATACATAGCATTCAGCCGACAGCTGGTTTCATCTTTAAGATTGAGTACCTGAACAGCTGAACTAGTGTACTTTTTCGGGAAAATGGTAGCCATGGCTTGCAAATTCAATTCTGGTTAGCCATTAATTATCAGTGGGTAATGCATAGTATTTGTTAGTTTTCTTGGTTGTTTCATTTCTATCGTTAGCCTCAAGTGCGATCAACAACTATACTATAGTTATTTCCTGTTGAGTTATAGTGATGACAAATAGGCAGATTAGATCGGATTTGGGCAGATTGATATTTGATTTGATTTGATTACGATTCAGCCATATAAATATTGCGTTAATTCTTTGCTTGAAGAGGGAGAAGTAATAGTGGGGTCCTCTATCCACTAATGTGCAGGTTCCTTGAAACTGAAATATTCGTTAGATAGGCATGCCGCGTGTTCATACTCCTAAATTGTCTGCTGGGCCCCTTTTCTCCACCGACTAAAGCCCACTCATCCATGTCTGTCTCTTTTCCCACCTTTCCCTCTTTTTATTTTTAGGAAAATATTTATATAATATATCCGTTACTCACACATTCCTCCATTTATTTTTACGTCCATTATATTAAAATCATATTTTTACTTCTTGTTTTTAGCATATTGTTTCCGTGTCATATACTCTAAACTAATTATACATTTTTTAAATCATTTCACGAGACCTATGACAATGTATCAATCAATTAATATGAGTATTATGATAAAGTATTTATATTAATTATTGTTTCTTGAAGGGCGTGTAATGTTTAAAGTAGACAAATAAAAGTAAATCGAGAAATATATACTTTTAGTTTAAGGGTGTCAAGATTTTAAAAAATTCTATATTTTTTATTTTTTTTTAAACTCCATGCTAGAAAATACAGTTAGCTGGATCAAACTCATTTTTGGGATTCATATAGCTAGCTGAATCTAAATCGCTTGGGATTAAATTATTTTTGTTGTGGTTGTTATTTTAGATTCATGATAATTAAGTTCAACAAATGAATGATCGGAGTTTGCTTAAAATGTAAATAATTAATTTAATGATATTTAATTATTTAAAATTGTAACAGTTATATTGATAGAATTAGTTAAGACTTAGAGTTAATTACTTAAAGTTAGTTAGGAGTCTGTTAAACACTGTTGAAGTAGTTAATTACAATTAGTTGGTTAGTTGGCTATTCTCATGTTTTATTCATGTATATATACACTGCTGTTGTATTCATTATTCATTCATTAAGAAAGAAATAATAAAATCCTCTCTTCATTCTAGAATGACCCATTGTAGCCTCTGTTCTTCTTTCTCTTTGAGCTTAATCTCCATTAATGGAGGAAGCTCACTGGTTTAATACTTCAATCAGTAATTCTGTCATGGTATCAGAGCTCATAGATTCATTCTGCATTCAATTTTGATTTGTGAGTATTGGTTTCAGTTCACAACTGGGAATTTGTGAGATTGTGTTTGTTTCTGTTTCTCGATCTATTTTGAATCAACTGCGATTTTTGTTTTTCGATCGCAATTTCTGTTTCTCGATCTATTCAAAGTGTTGGAATCAATTATTATTGGTGTTATTCTGCTGAATTTCTATCTTTTCTGTGCGACAAATCACTGTTGCATATCATCTGTTTGTGTTTTTGTGTTTGTTGTTTTACACGAACTGGAAATTTTACTTTCAAAGGTATATTGATCAGTATGGTTGATGTTCAATTTGATAATTCAAACATTGCAACTTCTTCTACTGTGAGAATGGACATTGCTAGTCCATTTTACCTGCATCCTTCAGAAAATGCAGGATCAACATTGTTGCCAACTGTTTTTTATGGAACTGGTTATAGATCATGGAGACAAGCTGTCCTTAGGGCCTTATCAGTGAAGAGCACAACATGCTTCATTAATGGGAAAATTATAAAGCCTGATTCAGAGGATCCAAGCTTTGCGCATTGGGAAAGGTGTGATGACATGGTAACTTCGTGGATTATAAATTCCCTCTCACCATAATTGAGAGATGGCCTACAGTATGTGAACAATGCTAGAGAGCTTTGGGAGGAATTGAAGGATCGTTATGACCAAACAAATGGATGTAAGTTGTATCAATTACAGAAGGAGATAAATAATTTGGTGCATTGAAGTTTTGATGTTACTAGATATTACACACAAATGAAGAAGTTGTGGGAAGAGATAAACATTGTTGACATCACTTCTCAATGCACTCGTGTGTGCATTTGTGGTGGAAAGACCAAGATGCACAAGGCTGAACAAGACATGAGACTTATGTATTTTCTGATGGGTTTGAATGAAGTGTATACTGCACTGAAGGGAAGTATCCTGATGATGAGTGACTTACCAAGCATGGCACATGCTTTTGCTATACTATCCCAAGAAGAGAGACAGAGGGAAGTAAAGCCCCATAATCACACTTTTTTGGACTCCACATCTCTAATTGCATCTACATCTACTTCTAATGGAAAAGGTTTCAAGACAAATTACAGTTCTTATAGAGGAGGTGCAAGCAGCTCTGGCAGTACCAATAACAATCGAGCAAGTCCTAACACTAATAACTCCTATTCACAGAACAAATTTGGTCTATTTTGTGACTACTGCAAAAGGCCTGGACACACAAAGGATAGATGTTATAAGCTTCATGGTTATCCAACAAATTCTAGATTTTCTAAAGGTAACGATTCAGGTTCTGCACCAAATGCATATACACAAGAAGAGGGGAACAATGAAGTCGAGGAAGGTCCTGAACTAAGGCGACAAATGCCATTGAACATGTCCAAGGATCAGTATGAGCAGTTGCTGAACCTTTTGGGAACCCTGTGTCACGACCCGAGCCTACACCATGGATGTGGCCGACACTCGAAGACCATTGCTGGTCCCCAAGCGAACCCTCATCTTGGCTGACTACAAGCGGAAAACTGATTCAAGTGTACAAAACTTAAAAACTGAAATAAAAGTTCAAAAAACTTAAATTCAAACTTTAACTCAAATGAAAACTCTAAATAATAAAATATATTCGAGTCGCCCCAAAATTGGCAACTTAAGTCTTTGATATATATAATAAAATATATAAATAATACAGACTTCTCAACTATACTGACTATCTATGAAGCCTCTAACTGATAAAGATGGAAGTCGGGACAAGACCCACGCATCCTGACTAAACTGAAAGGTAAATGAAATCCTCCGGAAGCAAGGAGGCTCACCATAGCTAACTCGAACTCTCGGATGTATCAACGAAGCTCCTGTTGATGATCCTGAATACATGTGTCTGCATCATGAGAAGATGCAGGCCAAATGACTCAGTACGTGGAATGTACGAGCATGTAAGAGGAATTCTAAAGCATAAACATAAGCTTGAAACTTGATAAAAAAGAAACATACTTACCTCTTCTCAAACTTACTCAACTCAAGGAATACTCATGGATAAGATGCTCAACTCAGAGATTAGATACTCAACTCATGATACTCATGGATAATGCAATAGTAAAAGATGCAATATATGGAAAGCTTATAAAACAGTAAAAACAACTTAGTTCGTTAAAGAAAATGCAATAACAAACTCAGCTTTACTTATATAATAAAGTAATATAGTTTCTGTGGGAGATTCTCTAATCGACAACCATCACTATGAGCCTAAGTGGTGATATAACGTCTTGTCCACGCTGCCAGAACTGTCTTATACTTTATCTTCATATAGAACGCTTAACTTAGTGGATGCACTAGTCTATGCTAAAAGCATCTTAAGGAGTCATATAAAAAGTATGATCATTTACTACCCATGATGGCTACATGGTTTATGGATACTTGAGTTAATATGAACTCGCATCCCCATATCGGTGCTCAATACTACTCCCAAAATATACTTAGCTCATATGTTTGTAAAAACAGAACTCTTTCTTTGAACTGAGATAATTACACAAAAGTTAGATTAAAAGTTCTCTTGGAATCGATGTTCCCTTTTCATGCTCAAATGTGAAAACATTTATAAACTTTTTGGGAATACTTAGTTCCCATATAGCTTTTTGAGAAATGGACTCAACTATTTGCTCTTTTCTTAACTTGAAACTTTTAGTCTTAAAACAAAGTTAAAACATTTGTAAAAGACTTCTTAAAATGAGGTTCATGCCGAATTATGGACGTGAACGACTCAATGCAAGGTTTTCAATAACCATAGATAGAACTCAATACTTGGAACTCAAGAACTTCAATAATACTACTCACTTCAAGAATGCTCAACTCAGAGGGTTCATGCGGAATTTATAAGCATGAACTACTCAACTCAAGGGCTCAAAGATACTTCTCGTTTCAAGATTGTTCGACTTATAATGTTCATGCGGAATTGTGGTCATGAACAACTCAACTCATGGACTTCATGGGTAATAAGTAATAGTCCCATGATTAGGATTATAATCTCGGAAGGGTTAGGAACTCAATACTTAAGACTTAGGACATGAAGATATTACTTCTCTCATAGATACTCAACTTCTGAAGTTTATGCCGAATTTATGGGCATGAACGACTTGACTCGTAGGTCTACATAACATTATGGAACTCATGTATACAACTCTTCTCTTTCTCTTACTTACTTCCTCAAAACTTAGTTCAAATCGATTGTTGATCTCAAAGGATTCACAATTGAACTCAAAAACTTTCTTGAACTTTACTTTTAACTCTCTCTTAAATGTGAATTATGAATTCAAGAGTTATGTTTCATGATATAAAGGATCTCGTGATAACAAAGTAGACTCATGAATACATTCTCATCATTCTCATACTCAGTTGCTCGAGTTTTGAAACAAGTTACTAGAAGTTGTAGAAGACTCCACAAAAGGACTCAAAGGTACTCTCTTAGAATGTTCGAAAAAATTCTCAAAACTTAACTCTCAACTCTACCTTGAATTTGAATTATGAATTCAAAGTTATGATAATGTTAGGAATGATTTTAGGTGTTTAGAAGTAGCTTAGATTAGTTAGAATCGAAAAGGAGTGAAGGTGCACTTTAAATGAACTCAAACGGGGCAACCGACGACAAACTGGGTGGGGCAGGAGACCCTGGCGCTATGGGTGGCACGGGGCGCCAGCTTCTAAACTTCAGAGGTGGGTTTGGGGCGCTCTGGCAGGCGCATCGCGCCAGGCCCCCAAGCCAGAAAATCTGACGAACTTCTTTGCTCGTTTTCTCACCCTAACTCGCCTAGAATCGAACGATTTTTTTCTCCAATCACTTAGAATCAATTATTTAACATAAGTACACTCTAATATACTCAATATGTCACGCCCCGAGCTACCCCCGAGACGCGGACACTGGACCT